GACAGTTTTATCGAGCAAAAAGAAGACGAAATCCGAGAAAGAAAGCAAAAACCGGACGAATCTCTATGCGAATTTGTAGACGCAATGTTATTCTTATACAATCAATACCCAGGGAAAATTTCCAGCGAGAAAAAAATTCACGGCATATTCATAAATATGAACACCAAGTACAAGCAACAACTATACAAGTTCAAAGATTTCGATATCATCAGTTTTGTCCGTGAAGCACGAGAATTAAGCAAAGCGCTAGGCGAAAATAGCACAACAAAAGCAAAACCAGAGGCGGACACCAAATTAGACGCATTTAACGTACAGAAACAAAACACTTTAACACGCGAAGACGTAACAAACATAGTAAGTACAGAAATGAATAAAATATGCAGCGAACTAATCAAATCACTTAATTTGCACAGAAGCCGCTCGCGCGAAAGGCATAACTCAGACCGACGCGGATCGCAAGATAGAGCACGTTACAGTGGCGGACGCGACAGTCGCACTTCGCGCGACCGGGCCGATTATTACAACGCGGCAAACAGAACTAACCAACAACAGTACAGAGACAGACAACCTAGCGCCGACCGAACACCAAAGCGCAACTCATCAAATGATAGGAATAACAGACAAAACAGTTCAGACAGATACAATAGAGCAAACAGATATAATAGCTCAGATAGATATAATAAAATACACAGAAACGATAGTTCAGACAGATATAATAACCCAAGAAGACATAATAGCTCAGAAAGAGATACCAATACCCAGAAATAAAACGATACTAGGCGCAGCAACAGCCCATACCCACGTTCAAACTCTTCAGATAGAGGGAAAGGTTCAAATAGCCACGAAAATAACACCGATAAACAAGTACAAGTACCAAAAAACCAATCATAGACAACACTAAAAAGGCCACCGTGTCGTCTACCGCAAAGGCCACCAAGAAGAGAAGTACAAAGAGGAAAGTAGCTTTCGCAGACATAACACCGTCACTAGATTCATCAGAATTTTCAGAGTACACCCGCTATTTTCTTGAAACATACGTAGGCAAAACGAAAGTTAAAGCGTTGATCGATACAGGCGCCCAAAGAACAGCAATAGGGAAAATCTACAAGAAAGTACTCGCGGAAAATAACATCACCACCATCGACCCTACAACACAATACGTCCGTATGGCAAACGGTGAGATAAACCAATGCGAAGGAATATTTTCAGCACCGATCTCAATCAACGCAATAACGAAACAAACAAAATTTATTATAGTCCCGAAAATAAAATACGACTTAATTATAGGATTGGACACAATGCGAATATTAAAAATGAATATTTTTACCAGTAGAAACACATACGTACTCGAAGGTAACAACAACGAAGAATTCGTATTCGACTTATGCTCAATAGAGACAAACGAGGCCCGAAACGAAATAAAACCCGGATTGTCAAAACTTACAGCAGAACAAGCTCAAAAATTGAAAACCTTACTAGATAAAATTTTGCCCCCTAAATCCCAAAACGACAACGAAAAATTACCAACAACACCGCTGCTTGAATACGAGATCGAATTAAAAGCCAACGTACAACCGGTGAAACAACGATGCTACCCAGTATCACCGAAGCTAGAAAAGCAAATGCATGAGCACATAAAGGAACTCGAAAGCAAAGGCATCATCGAGAAATCAGACAGCGAATGGTCATTACCGGTAATAATGGTGAAAAAACGCGAAGGGAAATACCGTATGTGCGTTGACCTGCGCGTAGTCAATAAACTCACCAAGCGCGACGCGTACCCCATACCCATTATGGAAATAATTCTAGCCAAATTAAAAGCCGCGCGCTTTGTGAGCCAAATCGATTTAAGTATGGCTTACCATCAAATACGTTTAAAGAAGAATTGCCGAAATATAACAGCCTTTTCTCCCTTTGGCCTAGGCTTATGGCAGTACAAGCGCCTCCCCATGGGATTCAGCGGAGCGGGAGCAGCGTTCCAACGCTTAATGGACAAAATTTTAAAAGAGTTTGAGCCGTATTGTTATGTATACCTCGACGACATAATGATAATAACAAAAACCTTTGAACAACACTTAATAATCTTAAAGAAAATAGTACAAAAGCTAGTGCAAGCACATTTAACAATAAATAGAGAAAAATCGCACTTTTGCAAATTAAGCATTAAATACCTAGGATTCATAATAGACGAACAAGGTATACACATAGATCCCGAAAAAACGGAAGCAATTAAGAATTACCCCAGACCACGTACATTGCGTCAACTACGGAGATTCCTGGGAATGGGATCATGGTATAGGAAATTCATACGCGACTACGCAAAACTTGCACACCCTTTAACCAGCCTCACAAAGAAGAACATAAAATTCCGTTGGAAAGAAGAGCATAACAAAGCGTTTAAAACAATAATAGAAGCGCTAATAAGCGCACCGGTTTTGCATATCCCCGATCCAGAAGCCCCATATTTTCTACACTGCGATGCAAGCGATACAGGCATCGGAAACGTACTTACACAGAAGATAGGAAAAGAAGAAAAAGTCATCGCCTACGCGAGCAGAGCCTTGAAACCAAATGAAAAGAATTTTTCCACAACAGAGCGCGAAAGTCTAGCAGTTCTCGAAGGCATACGTAAATTCCGAGCTTATATCGAAGGAGATACCTTTACGGTGATCACAGATCACGCAGCACTTAAATGGCTGTTCGCCAAGAAAAACCCCACCGGTAGATTAGCACGCTGGATAGATGAGTTGATGGGATACGAATTTGAAGTGATCCATCGCAAAGGCACATATAACGTAGTACCCGATTGCTTAAGCAGAGCTTTTGAAACAGAGACAGAATCACAAGTCGACGCCTTCGAATTAAACGAACATTCCGGAAAATGGTACAACAAACTAATAACAAGCGTACAAAAGGCACCTCATCGTTACCGCGATCACAAGATAATAAACGGAAACCTGTACATATATAAAGAAAATAGACGACACAACAACGTAATAGACGACTTACATACGTGGAAGCTAATAGTACCAACGAACATGATAAACGCAATATTACATGAATCGCATAACGAACCAAGCGCGGGACACCAAGGAATCGACCGAACGTTCACAAAAATTAAAACACGTTACTATTGGCCTGGCATGTACCGTGATACGCGTAAATACGTACGCGAATGTCACACTTGCCAAATGACAAAATACAACCAAAGCAAAAAGATTGGCCTAATGAGCACACGTGAAGTAACCGAACCGAACCAAATAATAGCAGCCGATTTAATGGGAAATTTCCCAAGGAGTAAAAATGGCATGGAATATTTACTAATATTCGAAGACTTATAGTATTCACACGCTACGCAATCTGCCAACCACTACGAAATAAATCGAGCGAATTAATAAAAAAGGCAATCGAAAGAGAATTATGCGCACGCGTTGGTACACCCAAAAAATTAATATCAGACAACGGGAAAGAATTTATAGCCGAAAATGTAAAAAACTTCCTAGAGGAAAACGGTATAGAACACGAATTAACACCTGTGTACCACGCACAAGCAAATCCAACGGAACGCGTAAATAAAACAATTAAAACAATGATCAGAGCATTCATCCCAGTAAATCATAAAGAATGGGATACACATATCCCACAGCTACAATTCGCGTATAATACGAGGGTAAACGCAACCACGGGCGTCACGCCCGCATTTTTAACATTCGGACGAGAATTAGAACCCCCCATATGCTGGCGAAGAAACATAGAAAAAATTAGACATAAATTGCCAAACTCAAACACGATAGAAATCGCTAAACAAGAATCGTCATCCCATCCTAATAACAAAAATAACGAAAATAATTATACAGATCACGTCAACAACGAAACTACAAACAAAATAATAACCCGATCACAAACGAAAAATGAGCCAACAACCGAAACACAAAATAAAACGGTAACAAAAGAGAATAAATCAAAAGACAATGTAGCTAAATGGGTAGAGCGCATGGAAAAATTACCGCAAATGTTCAAGCATACATAGGAACGCGTGAAAAACTAACAGGAAAAACATCGAAACCATTATAACAAAAATAGAAGGGAATGGCAATTTAAAATAGGCGACCTAGTAAAACATCGGAACAAGCAGCTGTCTTCCGCAACAAAAAACTTTAATGCGTCACTCGCGAATACGTACGTGGGCCCTTGCGAAATCGTACAACAGCTCGGCAAAAATACATATAAACTAAGATATAAGGGCAAAATATTAAAAAGCTATTGGCACGCGAGCGACTTATATGTATACCACCCCAATGCTACAACGAACACAGGAAACGCCAACATCAACCTACAGAAGAAAGACACTGAATCAACGCTAAACCTCCCAGCAAAGCAGCCCCTAGCAGAGAAAAGAAAAAGGGGAAGACCACGGAAATTACAACCGCCATAGCACCATAACAACAAAAAAAAGCATTCCGGCGCAACAACCTACATCGGCGCTGAAAGAAAAAAAAACATGCGCGCAAGCACACGCACACGCTACAAAACAAAATTTTTTAAACGCCCGGCGCAGGCAAAGGCGCATACGGCCAAGATAGCTAAAATAAGTCTAGACAGGCCCAGCCACGAGAAAAGGCCGCCGCCGCCTCCCTCTCAACCAACATACACCCACAGGCGTGCAACAGCACATAAGCATCAAGGGGCAAGAGAGAGACAGACAGAGCCCCCCTCCACTAGACGCGCCTAGAGAAAGCGCGCGCCGGCAGCAAATCATAGCCGGCACTCAAGCAATCGGCAGCAAGCTGCATCGGCACAACCCCGTGATTACACATCAAGTTCGAAGTTCTAAAAGTGCACATTACAGTTACACGTTACAGCGGCAGCACATTCGGTTAGTGGCAGTACTTACGGTGGCAAAATCAGGAAGTGCACATAAAAGTGAAGTGAAGCAAGTGTCAGTGCAGTAAAAATAAAAGCACAGCAGTCGCGCGCGCACGTGCAAATCAGCGTAAACAATGGCGAATGACGGCGAAGCCGCGAGACAGACCCGCGACATGGAGAACCTAATACAAAGGCTCAAACGCTGGTCGCCTTTCGCCCGATCACCAGCGCGCACAACAACCAGCGGCACGCAAACATCACCCGCCGGGACGGGCATGAAGAAAGCACCGGCAGACACAGCAGCCGCCAGCACACAGACAAGACTCATCTGCGTCCGCGAAGCCGGCACGCAGACGAGCACGCGCGCGAAGGAGCGACAACAAGCGCACACGCACCGAGACACCGTGCGCTACACAGAGATAGGCACAATCTCGTTGCCAGAATTCGCCGATTTTAAATTGCCGGAGCCGACAGAGGAAAAGAAAAAAGAAATGCAACGGGACAAACAGCTCACAAAAAAGAACAAAGCCGAGGAGGAACGCCGAGAGGCAACCGAGCAGGCGCGCCAACAAGAAGTGGCTGATAAAGAAGAGAGGCAACGCAGGGAAAAAGCTCGTGCCAGAGCAGTGCCAGCCGAGAGCCAACTCGCGTGGCGAGCATATTTCTTCCGCGCAAATCACTCGATTGAAGTAGCGCGGAAGAAGCTCAAACAAAAGCAGCTGTGCCAGGACGCAGTGAAAATGGCAGTGCCAGAGAGATTGCGGCCGGAAGTGTCGCGCCGCCTACGACAATACATAGCCACACATGAGGAGATAGAGGAGCAGATCGACGCAAGAACGATCACCGAAACCATCGAGCTCCTGCAACACCAAGCCGAGGTAATAGCGAAGCAAATGGCAGAAGAGACCAAACACAGCACAACACAGCAACACAGCGCAGCTCAGCAGCACAGCGCAGTACAGCAGCACAACAGCACAGCGCAGCACAACAGCACAGCGCAGCACAACAGCACAGCGCAGTACAACAGCACAGCACAGCACAACAGCACAGCGGAGCACAGCAGCACAGTGCAGCACAACAGCACATCAGCACAACACAATGTAGCAACTGTACAGCACAGCGACATTGCAGCACAGCGAAACAACATAACAACATCAGCACAGCAATACCCGCAACAACGAACCGTGAGCGAGGTATTACCACGTCCACGACCGACACCAAGCACAGTGGCCGAGAAAAGATCACCCGACCAGACAAACGAGCACCGCAGTGGAAATCCGAGAAGGATGTTTTACAAAAACAAGTACGACGTCCCTGGGATGGAGAATCTGCGGGACTTACTAACTAAGAAGTTGGTAAGCAAACAATGGCACCCGCAGAATGAAGATCAACGGGAGTTGCTAAGTAGAGCACACCGTAAAGAATACGAAAGAAGGATGCTACGCGCACTGAAAAATAAATAAATAAGGAAGTGTTAGTGTCAGTGTTAGCTAAAAATACGTTTTTTTTGTGTGTTTCGAATGGGAGATGGCCGTCAAGAGGCAATCAACAACATGAACAGTTTTCGTGTTTTTCTTTTCTTTAAGTATTTTTTTTCCTCTTTCTTTTTTTTTCCCTTTTCTTTTTTCTCCCTATTCTTTATAAATTTATATAAAATATATTATTATTTATAGAATTATCTCATTATTTATAGAATGATATTATTATTTATAAAAAAAAAAAAAAAACTGAAAACTGAACCTACTTTACTTTATAAGCATTTTTTTTTTGTTTATATACCATCTTGCGCCACAACAAAATATGTATCAACAGCGACAAAAATTACCTTTTTATTTTTTTAAAAAATTATGTTAATTAATTACATTATTTTTTGTATTCAAGTTATAAGTATTAAGCCAAAAATGTACAAGTTAAAGTATATCAAAATAAATAGAAATAATATCACTGCACATGGTACGAATTAATTTAAAAATAATAAATAAACATAATGAATGTGTACACGCCCCATACAAGCCCTTAGAGAGAAAGAGAGAGTAACACGATGTGTTACAAGAATTATACCGCGTTTTAATACTCATAATTTCAAAATAACTATTACTCTTGCCACAATGTACAGTTTCTCTTTTCCTTCATAAATTATACGTACACATACCATCTTCATTTCCTTTTTTTATCAACAAGTGATATACATATATTTTTTTTGTGCTATATTTCATTGCCTCTTAAAATAAGCCTCGTGTGCAAGAGGGTACGTTACACCACATTCAGGTACACGGCAACACAGGCCACCCAACACAGCCATACCCTTGCACACACAGCTGAAAAAGGGGTAAAAGTGTACGTGACACATGGTGCAGGCATTCCCACATCTCGTGTGCACGAAAACCTCGGGCTTTCGATTACGGCGGGGGCAGTGTAACGTGGTAAGCGATAGCTTACGACGTCACACATATTAATACCACAGACAAGCGTCAGGAGCCGCGCACACGAGCTGCTGACGAACTTACGACCTGTACAGAGAGAGAGAGAGAGAGAGAGAGAGCTAGGACCGAAGAGAGGGCAGCGCGCTCGCGACTATCAAGCACACATAGGTAACCACGAAGCGCGAATTAGAAACAGAGTGGGGAGCGGCGAAGATATCGGCCGCCGAATATCACACGAGCGAGGCCCCGTGGCTTTTTCGCTCCGTTCGCGGCACGCGACGCATCTTCTGCGATAGCACCGAAGACTCGTCGCTCGCGCGTGACCTTGACGACGAACGACCCTAACGGACGGCTTCACCGTCGGCCCAGCAAGCGCACGCGGCGAAGGCCCCTCCTGGCAGCGCATATCCAGGAGGTAAAATATCGGACGAGCGAGTGCAAACCGAGGGAAGGACCGCGATGTCCATCGCATAAGCGTAAGCATCACCGTACTTTACTCTCTCTCTCTCTCTTCCAATAAGCACATAGCTGTGCGAGAGTCGGCTCGGCAGAGCCGACTGGTTTTGTACATTAGCGAGGCGAGGCAAGCCGATGTGGAATTAGCGACGACCGCTGCGGAAGGTTGACGCGTGCCTCTGGCACTGTAAAAGTAACGATTTAATAAATGGATATGGACGTCAATTCCGGACCGTCTTTTACTGAATGCTCGCCCTCCTCTCCAATTGCATGTACATTACAGGTTTAAGCAGGAGTACGAACGCACGCCTCTCCGCGGGCAATCGCTAGCGCTGCGATTGTGTACACCTGAGCTAACCGGAACTCCTTCTGCGACGTGTGGTGCGATGCTAATTGTTGTCGACATTAGCTAGTCCGGGAGTACTAATACTATCGCACAGAGCACGTTACAAATTGAATATTAAATTGAAAGTTGAACCAGTAATTTAATTGCATTAAAAATGGCAAAGTACCTGACAAGTGGTCCACAAAGGATGTAATAATTTATTTTTGTAAGTTTTGGCGAGCATGTCTCTATATAATTGTTCTAAAATCATTGAATCTACTTTATCAGTACGATCTATTATAATATTGAACATTTTGTTCGAACATTTTTTAATTGGATCACTGGCATAATAATTATAAGGTCGTCGATTACATCATCGACTTTCGAAAGAACAGCATCTAACATTTCATACCATATGGTAATCAGCTAAGGCTGAATACTTATGTATGACGTCTGTGATCTTTCCAGAATTTTTTTCAATACAAATTCTCCTGTGATCCTTGGTGTCCTCGAGTAACCTTTTAATGTGGGACACATTTTTACCAGTCTTGAAAGACTTTTCAAGCTCTTTAAGAGCACTTTCAATATGACTTGTCATTAAAGCACTGTTGATACACAAATAAATAATAACCTATAAACTATTTTTATTTTGTTTTGTAACGGGAAATCTCAGTCGTCCTTCTTCGGATGGCTCACGACTGCCCGTACAGATTATTTATTCGGGGATTCGGGAAGCAGAATTCGTTCCCACGGCTAAATAACACGCCGAGCACACGCGTTAATCGTACGCAGATTGTTACGCGGGATCAGGAGTGACTGTGAGGGTAATAAATAAGGCCAAGTTTGAACACAATAATCTTTAATAATAACGGTGATGTAACGATAACGATGGAACTTAATCGCGAAAAATAAATTGATTGAAACAAAAGGAACTTACTTAAAATATAAAATAATCGGAGGGTAGAAACCAAAGAAAATTATAAAATAAAATAAATTACAAAATAATAGAAAATATACAAACAGCAGAAATCACAAAATAAAGAACAAATATAAAATAAAGAAAGTACAAAATAAAGAAAAATACAAAATAAAGAAAAAAAAATACCGTTCACATACAAACGGTAACCGTCCGGACAAGATAGAGCGCGACCTCGCAATCGGCAGAGCTGCCGAACCGCGAGGTGTTTAACCGACGCCTTAGATGAAGAGAGAGAGAGAGAGAAAAAGAAAACACCACACCGACCTTGCCTCGAGTCGACTCCGGGTATCTATCGGCGACCTTTGTCCTTGTCGAAGACGGAATACTCTGGAAAAGGCAAAGACGAATAGCTGCGTAACAAGTCTTCTTTTGCTTCTCGAATCTTCTCCCGATCAAAGTTTGGCGATGCTGTTGGTGTTATTATTTCTATCGTTGTTATTTCGGTTATCGTTGTTACTAATGTTATTGTCGTTACTCCCGTTATCGTTATCAATACTATTGTTGTCGTTATTCCTGTTATCGTTGTTAATAGTGTTATCGTTGTTAATAGTGTTGTCGTTGTTAATTGCTGTTGAACGTTGACGTGTTAGTGTGTTGGTGTATTGGAGGCTCCGAACGTGACTGTGTGTGTGTGTCTGCGTCGACTCGAATTTCGCCTCGTGCCCGGGATTGGCAAGCGGTTTTCGCTCACCACAACTCCAAGATAGCAGCACGCGCGCACACCCCCGCGTCACCTCGCCGGTCACACACGTGTACCGGTGCCGGCTCCGCTACCTCGGCGGACTGATCTTCAGACAGACGACACTCCGCGCACCGGACACGTATTCCAAAAATCACCAGTCGTCAGCGAGGGCGCGGGGACTTACAAATCACAAACCAGGTCAGGAAAAAAAAATCAGAAGAAAATCCGTGTGCGCGCGGCGGACCGTGCGGCTGCTCAACCGATACTGCCTCACTCCTCTTCACGCCAGCGAGATGCGCGCGCAGATCTGCCGACGCCTCGCTGGCTTTCGCAATTTTTCTGTCTCTCTCTCTCTCTCTCCCTCGCTGTGCTCTCCACGTCGGCTCCCTCCGATCGCTGCCATCGCCGTCGCACATCAAAAGAAAGAACAAAAAAAGAAAAAGACGGAGCGATTAGAGTGTGCTCAACTAGCGCACACTCTTAGCTCGGCAAAGCGTACGGGGGACTAGTGAGAGCGTGGCGGAGAGCAACGGTCGAGCCGTGATTCTCCGTCACAGTTTCATAACTGATCTTTTCATCTCTATTGAAATACACTCTGTTGATGTTTTTCGTTGGCCACTAACACGTATTTTCATAAGTTTTATTGAATTTATATCCTCACTTTTTAATTTTAAACTGGATCTGTGATTTCTTATCCATGTACGTAAATGCGTACGTACAATTCCCTATAAAAATACAACAGCTTCTATAAAATATAGAATTCAACAAAAGTACTATTTTGTTATATCTTGAAATAATTATGCTTACATTGTTTGACCTACCGCCAGCTAGCTCAGGATAAATATCAACAATGATAGCAGCAAACGTAGCATAATCGTTTCTTGAAGGTGTGCCTCCAGTAACTTGGTACAAATATTCCTCCCAGTGTTTAAAAAAGCCTTTGCTGTCGGCAGGATTGATCTTCTGGTTTACCAATTTACTTTTCAAGGTAAAAGTTAAATCTGGCAGCACATTCAGCTTCAAGGGTTGTTTTGCAACTTTATTTGTAAATATCTTTTCCACTTTTATTTTTTTGATCATAGGCTATTGATAGAAACAATACAAATCAATTTTAATCGAAAATAATGAATGTAATAAACAAATATTAGTTTCATAAATACACAAATACTTTTATTTATAGTTGTTAATAATTTTATAAATACGTATAACAATTAGTCATGCTTACTTCAAAATTTTCTTCTACTTGGTTTGAAACATCCTTAATATATTTCTCTTGGCCAGTAAAATCAATGTCAGAATTAAACTAATTACTATCAGGCTGTTTTTGTGGTTCCTGATATAGTACATTGATGTCAAGGGATAGAACTTCACCAAGATCTAAGTCATTGAGATTTTTAGTAGTAACAGCAGAGATTTCAGTAGTAGAATCCGTGGAGGGATTCAAAAGAACATTAACCTCACTTAAATGTTGAATCTCGTTATCCAATTCGATATCGCACCATTCCCTAGTTTCATCGCGTAGTTGAAATACTATTAGTTTGTTTGCTGTCATAAACTTTAAAATAGAATCTACTTCGCAAGTCTTTGAAAAACTTTGG